GTACTAGTTGTTGTTTTTTTTTTTTTTTTTTTTTTTTTTKTTTGATTGGTTTCCTCGTTTTTCCCACCTCCCCGTTCGTGAGTTGTGGTAGCTCGACCAAACAGGGAAAACGAGGGGGGCTGAAACGAATAAAACTAAAAACTGTAAAAAAAAAAAAAAAAAAGGGAACAAAACGAAAACGAGGCAACTGCCTCGTGAGACCAAAGTACAGTCTTTTCGACTGTATGGGAGCAAGAAGAGCTCCCACTTCGTTTTGGGAAGAATAACTGTGGCCGCGGGATCTCGAATCTCGCGGCCCACAGTACACGCGTGGAACAAAGAGAGGGAGAGAAAGGGACGTGGGAGTTGGGAGGGGGAGGTCCTACTCCTCCCAACCTGCCAACTGCTCTCCCCGATTTTAGGGAAAGGCAGAGAAAAATGAGGAGGAGGGTTGTTGCATGCAATAGCGTGCACCTGGCCAAGGTAAAAGCCAGGTACAGTAAAAATTAGGAAGTTGTTGCATGCAATAGCGTGCACCTGGCCAAGGTAAAAGCCAGGTACAGTAAAAATTAGGAAGTTAGTTTTTTTTCTTTTCTTAGTTTGTTTTCTTTTCTTTTCTTTATTTTGTGTGAGGACACTTGTCCTCACGTGGTGCTACCTCTGATAGAGGCTCCCATTTTTGAAGGGAGCCTGGAAATTGAAGGGCCACTAAGGAAAAGGCTAGGTGCAGCCTTTTCCCCGATGTATCTGCCCTGGGAAAAGGGTCCAGATACATCAAACTGTAAGGGGTTGTATCTCTCCAACCCCTTATCAAAAAAATAAGAGAAAAATAGATTTGGAAATGGAAGGAGCCCAGCTATCTCGTGAAATTCCGAGATAGCTGGGAAAAACAAAAAAGAAAAATAAAATAGGGCAGTTACAGAAACTGCCCCACACGAAGGTTGTGGTTGTGGTGCAGCCACAGTCAACCCTGGATCTTGGGAAGATCAAGGGCTCACTGTGAGCCGGCGTTTTTGCCTGGGGGCTGGAGCGACGCCCAACCCTCTTCAGCCACTATATAACAGGCAGCTGTCCCCCAGCTGCCACACAATGCACTCGTGATGCCAGTGAGTGACGAGCACACTTTAGTGCTGCTGGCTGCTGGAGCTGCTGCCTGAGGCAACGTGAGGAGAGGCTGGAGACCTGCTGAGGAGCGCAAGGAGGAGAGTTGGGCAGCCATAGCCAAGGCAGGGAGCACTCTACTCCCCTCCCCTCTGGCTGGTGCTGGTCCCACGAGGCTGACCCAGGGGCACTGCGGGACTGCGGCAGTACGACGCTGTGGTTCCAGTTTTAACGACGGTGGTGCGGAAGCGCTGCCGGATTTTTGCGGCGACAGTTCCGGTTTTAACGGCGGTGGTGCGGAAGCGCTGTCGGGTTTTTGCAACGACGGTTCTGGTTTTTTCGACGGTGGTACGGAAGTGCTACCGGATCTTTACGGCGGCGGCTCTAGTTTTTCGACGATACTGCGGAAGCACTGCCAGATTTTTGCAGCGACGACACTGGGTTTTACTGCGGTAACGACTGTGTTTTTGCACTAAGTGGAGGTGGGGCGTTGGCACAGAGAAGGTGTGTCGAAGCGAAGATGCATTTTGAAGTGGCGTGAGTGTGACGCCGCGGAGACGCTGTGGCTTTGGAGGCGGTAACGAGAAAACGCCGCCAGATTATTGGAAAGTGATTGGTGCTGAGAGGGTACTCTGGCAAACAATCGTCACAAGGGAGTGGTGTCAATCACTTTGCTGACGACTGGGTGCGACGACTTTCTCGACAAGAGGGCGTAATCTTATACGGTTTTCTTGAGTGTGTTGTTCCAACTTCACTCAAGGTCAGTTAACCTGATTCAGTTCCCTCCACACCTGTGTGAACCCACACTTGCTTGACCTTGGTCCTCTGAATGTTCATTGGAAAGGGAAAAGGAATGTGTGTTTGCGTGTTTGACAGGGAGTCTAACGTGTTTTGTGGTTTAACTTGATTGCAGGTATGACGTGTGGACTAAGATGGATAAGGGTGATGATGGTGAAAGAATGGTTATTTTCTCACCTCTTTACTTGTGAGTGTGTATAAACTAGAGGGAAAAGAAGACGATGAAAATGAAGCGGGAATAAAGAAGAAGGACGTAAATGGACTTTCCCCAAGGTCACCCGTTTCTTTCCCGAATGACCCTTTCTATCTATGCCTGTCCCTCTAAATAATTCTTTTCTTTACGAGCTTCTTTTCTTCGTCTAAATTGCTCCTGACATCAGGCGGCAAGAGTTTAGCTTGCCTGCTGTGCAGATGTTTTCCCTTTTTCCTAGGAGGCATCTGGTGCGGGGGTTCGTTGCCTTAGGGGCCGGCCTTGTTATCGACTCAGAGTGGACCGCTTTGCGGGGGGGTACCATGCTCTTGCGGTGGAGCCAGCCCGACTTCTGAGTTCCGGGGTTCACTCGGGCGAGGACAAGGGGTATCCCAGACCACCTCCTAGGGGATGGACAAAAGCATCTTCACGGAAGGGCTTTAAGTTCTTGGTGCCTCGCGTAACGAGAAACTGCCTTAACATACATTTTGGTGGCCGTTTTAGGAGTCGTTGATACATGGGGAATTGGAGCCACAAGCAGCCCAGTTCGTGTCCTACTAGACAAACGGAGTATATTTAAATACTCTCGACGTGAACGGCCCTGCCATAAGAAGTACGGGCCAGAAGAAAGGACATCTGAGAAGATCGGTGATCATAATATTTATGATGAAAACAATGGGAGGCTGAACATTTTTATGGAGTAACCTGAATAAGGATGGATACTCCATCATTCGTGGAACAGAAAGAGTAATTATTGTCCAGGAGGACAAAGCGACCAACAAAATTTCATTCGCACTTCCAAGTGGTTGCATATGGTGCAAAGGTGTGGTCGAACCGAGAGTTCAAACATCGACCAGGAACCAAATCACTTGTTGATCTGCATGGTAGCAGTGGTATTTACTTGCAAAAGTTATTCATGACAAGTTTCAGTAGTCATGATAGGAAAATCAATCCTAGTTTTTTCTTCAATTTATAATCTTGGAAGGACAATATCAAAACTCTTAAGTCATACAGGTTGAAGAGAAACACTTTGGCAGACCAGCTCATCAAGTCAATGGTTTGGATATGTGTGATTTTTTTAAAGGAAAATGGATTTTGTTGTTTTTGTTTTTTATAAATGATTACTAGGGACTAGGATTGTATCTAAGAGTTTCACGCTTGGTTAAGACCGTCCTAGTCGACCGGCGTACGCTTCGTACTTGGGAGATCAACGCCCCAGGAAACGAACGGCGTTTGGGTTCACTTGGTATTAACCAAACATTTCCTATACTGCAGCGAGACGACCAAACGCCCTCGGTTGACCTACCTTTGCAATTGCATCTAAAAGCTTTCGCACGTGGGTCAGTAGCTCGATAGGGATACGCCCCTAAGGGTGGTGACAACCCCTTAGGGAAGCAAGCTTATGCCCCGCGAAAACCTAGCACCCGGCTAAAGAGGCAAAGGAGCGATGCAACCGCATCCGTCTCGGCGGCTCGCGGAATGTAATGCATCGTTCCCGAGTTGTCTCTTGGATGTGTTTTGTGTTTATCTCTTGCGTGACATGACCGGGAGGGCCCTCGTTTCGCGCGAGGGCCGATGCGCTCGACAACGCCTTCATCTCTCCTGAACAGATGACCATTCCTTATGACATATCTTTCAGCCTCCTCCCTTACCTTAATGCTGACCTCCATGGGCTGCTTATTTCCTACCAGCAGCAATCCGATTTCTCGAAACACCCCTTGTACATCTGAACATAGACAAACTTTTTCCCTTCCTGATCCTCACCCTGCCTCTCCTGCATCTCGTTTACCATTAGCTGCAACTCTCACTAGGCTCATCACGGCTTCCCGGCCTCCCTCATCGACCATCGCTATCCATTCCTCCTTCGGACCGACTATCGCCTCCCACGAATCCTTCTCCTCTTTACGTCTCCGGATGGTGACTTGCCCTTCCCTAAGCTCCGCCACTACGGTAGGTGCCCCTTTCTCCAAGGTTTGAATCAACAATTCTCCTAACGCGCATCCTCCACTCATCATTTAATTATCCACCGCAAGGGTTCCTCCTTCGTATTCAAGGAACGCGTCTATGGGCTCTGCATCTTCCACCCCTTCGGGTGTGATACAAACCCGACTTAGCCCATCGGCCTTGTTCCTGAGTCCAGCAATTCGTTCGATCTTGTAATCGAACTGCCAGATGAATCCTACCCATCTCCCGACCGTCGGGTCTATAGGCTTGTAATTCTTTAGAGCCCCCGCAACATTGGTCGAGTCGATCCTTAGGATAAAACGCCTCCCGAACAGGTAGGCTTGGAAGGTCTTGAGGCAGTGTAGGACGGCGAAGACTTCCTTCTTGAACTGTGAGTATCGCCGTTCTGTTGAGTTTAGGGTTCTACTCTCGAACTTATTGGCCTTTTTTTGCCTCCATTCGCCTTTTGAATCAGTACACCTCCTACGGCCAGGGGTCCTCCGTCTCTCTCTAGAATAAATGGTTGTCCAACCTCGTCGTTAAAACATGGTGCTGCCAAAGTGACTTGCTCCGATGTCAGTATGTCCTTGAGGGTTTGGACGGCTTCCTCTCGCTCCTTCGTCCAATCCCTGGTTCCTTCTTCTCTGATCATGGCGCGGATAGGCTCGACAATCCTGACAATTTTTTTAATAAAAATCCTCCAGAAGCCGACCACGCCTAAGAACGCTCTTACCTCTGTCGTCGTGCGCAGAGGCGTTAGCCACTGCGATATCTTGTCGTTTTTTGCTGGGTCCGGCTTCCTTCCATATGCGCCACAGCGAAATCCTAGTATGGTCACTTCCGGTACCTGCTAGAATACTCATTGGTCCGCTAGCCGTAATGTTGTAAACTAAAAACCGGTGGAGTAAGTCTTTGATGTCCTGTAGATGATCCCACACAAATTTTTGAATTCTCGGCTGGACTTCCGTCTCGTCCTTCTCCTGGGCACCTTTAATCGGATTGTCGTCGATGTAAGGTTCACACTTCTCTCGAAACATGTCTCCGGCTACGGCAAGCATCCTCCTTTGCGCTTCGACTACTGCATTCGTGAAGCCCATAGGGGTCACCTGCATCTGCAACAGGCCTATGGGGGTGTGGATTGCACTGTATGGTCTGTCCCGTGCATCCAATGGGAGCTGGTCGTACCCTGAATACAAATCTATCAGGGAATAAATGTTGAGGCCGGCGTGGGACTCTGCTAATAAGTGGGCCTGCGGTAATGAGTCGGCCTCCCGGATGGTCACTACATTCAACTTTTGTAGGTCTTGAATCCACCTTAGCGTCTTGTTGGGCTTTCGAAAGACGAATCACCTATTTACGTATGGGGACGCGGTAGGCTCTGCGACGAAGGAATCCATTTTTGCTCAGAGAAGGTCTGTCATTTGTCTGGCTATCCCGAACTCATAGGATGCTCCTTTTGTCATTCCAACACTCATGTTCTACCGTGTGGATTCTGACCGGAGGGATTAGCTTCGCGTCTAGCCGCCCTTTTTGGTGATCACTAAAAGCAAATGCCAGATGAAACTCCTGACACGTCCTTTTGATCAGGAGGGTTTCTTCTTCTGTTAAGAATCCCTCTATTCCTATCTTCATCGTGCCAGCCACCTCATCTGGTATCCAATGTCCTTCCGTCGCTCACCTCTCTCGGATTACTCGAAGAACCTCTTCCTCCCTTTCCGTAACCTCTTCCTTAGACCTCTTCCCTACTGGCTTGTACTTTCGAATACTTCTTTCCGGGATCTTTTTCCTAAAAAATGAATGGTCGGAATTACCCTTGTTGCCTCTGCGACCCATGGTTGGATACTGATTATCTTCCCATTCAAACAATATTCCTTTTGTACCTCCCCTTCAAATTTGGCCAGTGTCGTCGGATCTACCCCTACTTTGTGATACCTGATGGCTTTGATGAGCTGTAACAAAATCGAGGATCTCGAGCGCGACTTCTGGTACCTCTATCTGCATCTCTTTCCGCTTGGGCAGGCTGGCCCCAAGTTCAACTTCTGATTCCCTTTCCGCCACCATGACGCCTAAGATTTCGACCTCCTACCTCCTCTTCTTCTGAGGCAGGCCCATCTTGATCCATTATTTCTTGCTGAACACTTCCTCGATCATAATCTCTACCCTTTCTCTCATACCTTCTATTCGTGCAAAGGCCCCTTTCGAGTGCTATCTTCGAACGATGGCGACCACGTTGCCAACTTTCCATTAGGCGGGTCCCCTCCGGTCCCGATGAGTTGGAGGAGCTCCCCACGACCAGTCACTGGGTCCTCTAGGTCTACCGTATATGTGTCGCCATGCAGATGCATCCCTATCATTTCTACATGGGCACACAACAGTCTGCCGAGGATTATGTAATGGTCCATCTCGTCTAACACGGTCATCCGCTGAAATGACCAAACCGACTCCCAGATACCTGCCTTGACTCCACATTTGGTGACATATCCTGAAAACGGGATCTCGCCACCGGCCCCTAGGATGTTCCCCATTACTTCCTTGTTAACCACACAACCGGTAATTGTTGCGAAATCTCTCCTTATGAGTGTGATTTCCGCACCTCCGTGTACTAGAGCGTCTGTGTGATGTGTTCCGATCTGCACTTTAACTTTCCTACGGGCAGCGCATGGAAACTAAGCTTCGTCCCTGGTGGAGCCCTCATAACTTCCCCGCCTTCACGGTCTGGCAAGCTCAGGCGGATGTCCGCAAAGGCCTTCTCTAGATCCTCCAAATCTTCGAGACTCCTCTGAAGATTAGCGACTTCTTGCAGAGCTTCCTCCTCCTTTTCCTTTTCCTGTGATTCCGGGTTTTCGGCTATTTCTACTCGTCGGCGAGTCAACAGTTCTCTAAGCCCTTTGAGCAGTCTGGGGCTGGCTTGCAATATGGTCTGAAACGATACTGATACCATGGTTCCTAGCAGTTTGGTAAGGGTGTCGTTGATCTCAAGCATGGTATGGGGATTTGATATCTAAATTTTTTCTTGGCAGCGGCTACCTTGTCCGTAGGCTCCTCTTCCCTAGGTTTCCAGTAAACTTTCTCTGGTTTCCCGGTCTCGGGCTCTGATTCGGTCGCGGCGCCCCCAACAACTTCTTCCATTACAGTGTCACAAATGATTCTTCTTCCGGTCGTCCCTAGTCGAGTGGTCACGTTCACCCTTTCGCGCTCGTCGCCTTCTAGGATGAAGTTGGTCTGTGACCCGCAGCCTCGGAGTTGGTCCTAGACGATATCCACCACCGGTTCAACTTCTACTGCTGCTATCTCTAACCCGTTGAGGATGATAACGGCGCGCCGCATTCCTCCTGGTGAGTTCCAGTTCACCCGTTTTCCCTGAGGTCCGAATATCTCCCCCTTTAATGACCTGGTACATCTTCTTTTTAATATGTCGTGGTTGAGCTTCGGACATGCACGCACAAAACGTCCCACCGCGGTGCAGTACCTGCACTGCTCGTTGGCAGGATCTCTCCGACCGAACCCTCGGTTGGCCACTCCCGCCGGAACTACGGCTTCTTGGGGAGGGAGGGGGGGTCGGGATACTTGGGCCTGCATAACCATCAGCGCGTTCTCCACCGTTTCTATCTTATTGTCAACTTCGTGCACGCGTTCATGTAGGCTTCCGATCCCCCTTCTTACCTTGTCGCCCGTCTTGCCGGTCAGATCTATGATCTCTCCCTCCTTGAGCAAGGCCAGCGTTTCGGTCACTACCGTTTTCTCCGTCAGATCCGTCACCGTACTAAAGTCAACATCCCTAGTGTTTACGAATTTGCTTGTCTGTTGGTAGGCCGACAGAATCTTGTCCTTATCGAACTCGGAAAACTGCCTGAGGAAATACTTACTCATTATCCAGTCCGTTACCCCGGGGATCCTTAGTGCGACCAGGGTAAACTCTCTCAGGAAGTCATTGTATGTCGCACTGTTCCTCCTCTGGATTGTCGATAAATCGGCTTCTGTTGCCATTTTCTCCGCCGCCAGATACTTCCTCATCATTACATCCCGGGTCTCCTTCCAAGACCGGCTTGCGGCCACGATGGCCATTATGTCTCGCCCTAGACTTAATAACACATGCTGCCCTAGGTGATCCATCTTCTCCTCGTCACTCCATTTCAGCAACGCGGCCGGGTTCTCGTAATCTATCAGGAACTCCGTGATGTTCGCCCCGTCAAACGTCAAGTTTTTTTTAGCATCCGCGAGAAAGCCTTGGTTTTTGTTTAGTGCCCGTGTGAGGGACGACACCATCTTCCTGAGGCCACCCTCAGAGCTACTGGCCTCGCCTGCCGCACTGGTTTCCTGCCCTTCCTTGTCGACCCTCTATCCTTCTCTAGTCTTTGCAGTCCCCTCCAGGTCAAACCACCCCAACACCCTTTCCCTAAGGCTCCAGAGCCCCTCGCACCCTCGCATTACTGATGGTGTTGTCGGTAGGCGGCTAGCCCTGCTATCTATGGCTAGCGGATTTGTAGCCTTCTCCGCTTCCATTCCAGGGGAGTTCTCTCTTTCCTTCCTTCTCTTGCTAGGTGTTCCTCCACGGTCACTTCCCTTATCCCCTTGCCCAATTCCGCCTCCGTTGGCCTTCCGTTCGTCTCGTGGTTCTTCCTGCGGGAGGTCTTCCTCGTTCCCAGTCATCATCTCCTCGATCAACCTTGCCTTGTATTTTGCGGTTCTCTTTTCTATCTCTGCTAATTTGCGCCTCGCATCCGTGATCCTTCTTCGATACAGCCCCGTCTGAATTTCGCGGGCTCGACCTGTCCTTATTTCTACCTTCCTTGGTCTCATGGGTCCCTTGCTTGCTTCTCCCGGCCTTTCCCGAGCTTTCCCCTGAGGAGATTTCCTTTCTGTTCCCCTTGGTACCATCCGGATTTATCGATTCTCTGTCCTTCTGACCCTCTTCGCTTTGTACAACACTGCCCCCTAAACCTGGTCCTTCCTCGCTTCTAAGGTTGTCTGTCTCATCCCCTGTTGCCATTTTGTCTAGATCTGCAAAAAAACAGAGGGTTTCCCTAGGACACAGGTAGCTCGGGACATTTTGGGTTTTCGTAAGCTCTAGTCTTTTTGGTTTATCTTATCAAAAAGAAAAGAAACCCTCTTCCTATTTTCGTCCTCTGATTGCCTTTCCATGAAAAAGAAGACCCGTGGCTGGCCCAGCTGCCCTATCGAGCTAAGGAACAGAACTTAGTTCCTCTTGTGACAAGCTCGTTTAGAGTGGCCCAATTCGTCGTGTCGGGCGTGCAGGAGTTGCGGTTGGGCACTCCGTCGGGAAGGGTCCTTGATCAGTATTCTTTTCAACTTCCTGGGTTACGACAATTATCATGGATCTGCCCCTTCCCTATTCCGCAGCGGCTGTTGGTTGTCCGGGTCCAACGGTCCTTTTCCTATTCCCATCGATGAACCCCTATGCGTAACAGAATATACTTTATTTGCCCAATCAGCGTGCTTCCGGGTGCTAGTCCCGCTCTCGTCCCCGTGGCCCTTCCGGTTCGGTAGGCTCCTCAAATAGTTGAGCCACCGCTGCTAGATAGCTCTCCCCCACCTCGATCTCTCTACGAATTATGTGCTCGTATTCCGCACAAGCTAACCGCAGTAACCCAAATATCAAAATATTGACAGCCTCCAGCAATTCCTGGGCCCGATTTCCCCAGAATGGTCCGTGCTCCACAGCGACGTCATAGAACATCCCGATGGTTTGAGGTGGGAAGTGGTCTATCCAGACTATTGCCGAGTCCGCCAGATCCTGCGCCCTTGCGAGGCTTCCGAAGATGAGGTCTATCATAAATCGGGGGACCCGACATCTTAGCGGGGTTGCTTGTGCGTTAAATTCCCGCCAGCTTCCTACTTCCACCCTGGTCCGTAAGACCACGTTTCTCCTACCCCTGACCGATTGGCCCGTCCGTGTCAAGGCCTGGGCTGCCCTCCGAAAGACCGGGGCCAACTCGTGACCTTGTGCTATTGCCACTCCCAACGAGTGCCAACCAACCTCGGGTAGATACAAGGTCCCGGTTACTTCCAGATTGGAGTACAAGTCATCCCCAGGCCCTCGGTTAAATCGCATCCCTGTCCACAAACATTCCACCATCATGAAGGTGCTGTCCCTCCCTAAGGTCACGGCCCACCATTCCACGTCGATTTCCCGAAATTCGAAACTTGAAGGTGCTGTCCCTCCCTAAGGTCACGGCCCACCATTCCACGTCGATTCCCCGAAATTCGAAACTTGTCGGAAGGGACACTTCCCACCCTCTGCCGTTATTCCAGGACGGCCCAGGGTACCGGGGTTGGCGTTCCGTCCGAACACGTCTTGCCGCCATCGTTATTTGGTGATTTCCTGCATAGCCCAAACAGAGAGGATCACAACCCGTTCTTCAGCAACTGCTCACCCTCCTACCGTTTCCCTTCCCGCTCATGTCCCTTTCTTTTTTGCCCTGCGCCCCACACCTGCGCCCACAATGGTCGGACGCCTCTCCTTGTTTCAATCTCCTCACACACGTCGCTAAACTAATGTACACGTGTGATAACCCGTCCAAACATGGACTGAAACACACAGCCGATTTCTGAGTTTTGCTCATAGACTGAATGCCCTACCGAGTTCCTGCCTGCTAAGTTTGTGTGTGTGTGCTTGCTGGACTGCATGTCTGTCTGAGTGCTGGTTGGCTTGCGTGTGTGTGACTGTGCCTGTCTGAGTGCTGGTTGGTATGAGTGTGTGTGTGGCCCGTCAGGGCACTTGTTCATTCATTGGGCCCTCAGGGCCGGTACTTACCTGTGGCTGTGGCGTTGAAGGGTTGCAGCGCTCAAGTAGCGGGTAGGCCGGTACCGCACCCGGCAGGGGGGTAAATATGCAGGTACCGGAGTCCGAGCAGAAGAAGACAAAAAGTGGCATTTTTAGAGGCCGGTAGTGTAGGCTAGGTCTAGCGGGTACCGGTCTGAGTCTAGGGCCTGTAGGGGCAATATCAGAGTCTGGAATGATGTTTCCCTCCAAAAGAGGAGGAGGTACCGGTTGCTTGGGAAGGCCAGCGGCCTGGAAGTCATCGCCCAAGGGGCAAAGCAGGCCACTATATCTTCAGGCCGGGCGGAAGACCCGTCCTCTTTTTCGGTGTGCAAGTTTGGCGACACACTGGTAGAGCGCTGGCTGGAGCAGCGCTGCTGGGGAGGAAGGAGAAGGACATGACGGAGGAAGAAGGAGGAAGGGGGAAGGAAGGAGGAGGAGCGCCAGGGGTACTTACCTGGCTATGGTGGCAGCCATCTTCATCACCTTGGTGGGCGCTGCAGCAGGGAGTCCCCAACTGGGGAGAGCTACACCAAGAAGCTTCAAAGCAGGGTTGGGCATGGCGGTCTGAGCTAGAGCAGCCATAGCTGCTTTGGGTTGTCCTTTGGACGTCTGGGCAAGGCCTAGTAGTCCGCCATAGCCTCGGCCTATGAGAGTGAAGATTGAAGGGAGGCGGCCATGGCTATGGTGGACCTCAAGTGATACCTGCAGTAGAAGAGGAACTCGGATATTGATTCTGGACCAGTCATTCAACATTGTATTATTATTTCTTCTATGAATAAGAGAAGGGGGAGATAAGGAGGAGGAGATTGTTGGACGAAGAAGAAGAGCCTTGTCATTGTCTTTGCTGGTGTACATCTTCTTCTTCTTTCTTACTTCTTCTTCTTCTTCTAATCCTCTCTCTCCTCTCAAGTTCATTCATTTCTTTCTGCAATTGGATGGCATTGCACCTTCTGATGGATGTGTATCTCGAAATTGGCCAGGGTCATAACATTGGTTTCAGAGCAGATTCTACTTGCTGGCGAGAGTCGACTTTGCTACCCTAACCCTAGCCTAAGTGGTTGAGGGCAACACTTAGGGTTAGGGTTGGTTGGTTGAGGGAAGTGGGGCAGCGTGGCTGAGGGAAGCTGCCCCCACCTGGTTAGGTCATGTGGGGTCAACATAGAACCTAACCAGGTTGCTTGAGAGTGAGATTAGGGTGGCGAGACATTTCGAGGAGACTTCATGCGGCGATTTGAGAGAAGCAACAGTGAGAGGCACTCGCACCTGGAATCTGATTCAAGGGAGACTCTTGGCAACTTAAGGGCTGGCGTTGCACTTGGGTGTTGGAGTCAGACCCTCCTAGGAGATAGGACACTAGTGGAGGGGTAATGTTAGAGGGATCAGGAGGACCACATGAGAAGTGGGGTGAGTTCTCTTCATCTCGAAGCTCAAGGCCACTCAGGTAAGTGTCGTGCACCTACGGGATGCCCATGTATGTGTGTATGGTATTGATTGACCTGCTGGGGTACTCTGGGTTTCTTTTCCTACTCCTCTGTGGTCTTGATTGTGTGACTGAATGCATGTGATCTACCTACTCACCTGATGGATGGAAAATGAAGTACCTTAACATACATGCCGCGTCTTTCTACAATGCTTTTTTTCATCACTGAACGGTTGTAGTCTGTAGGTTCTGCCAGAAGTTGAAATTTCGCTTTTCAGTACAGTAGAGACTGAACTAAGTTCAGGTGGAACTCCTCTTGGTTGGGACCTGGTTGAGACCTACGTGGGACCCTAGGGACCAAGCGCGACCCTTGGGACCCAGCGAGAGCGGGCCCAAACAAGGAGATCCTCTGGACCCAAATCGGTTAGGCATTGACCTCTTGTCCTCTTGGCTGGGATACGAGTTCATTCTTCTTGGATTATGACACCCATTGTGGAGGGGATCTTGGCTGAGACGTTTCGCATGTCTTCTGATTGCACTGTCCGTGGCTTGACTCGCACCCTGTACACCACTCAATTCTCCATTGTCTCAATTCTCCATTGCTGCATTTAGTTACTCGTTGTCTGATTTGCTGTGCGGTCACGGAGCTGGTCAGACTGGACTCGAGAGGACCTATGCAGTCTGATCAGACAGGGTCGCTGGATCAGACCGCTCATTGAGATTGTTTGTTTCCTCTACTGCTCTCTACTTCCAAATGAAATGCCGCTCCGGCTAGGAGTCCTACCTTCTCTTCTCTGAGCTTTTCAGTCTGTTTTTCTGAGTTCATTTCCGATGCCCGTGGAGACTCGCAACTTGAAAGAGGAGAGAGAGAGGAGGGAGAGAGAACAGGGAGAGATGGAAAGTGACTATGTGAGGTGGGAGAGGACTGGGAAAAGGAGTGTTCGTCCAAACGGGAGGGGGAGTGAACCTCTTGAGAGTCTAATTGATTCTTTTGCTGATTGGCGACTCTCTGACCCACCTATCCATACTGACAATCCAATAATGGCTCAGCTAACTTCAGTTCAGTGGCGGGCCTTGTTTATAATTAGAAACAATGCCTCAATACTAGAATAACTAGTATCGAGGCATTGTTTCTATACTATTAGGTGCAATGTACTAACTTTTGTTTTAATTTGTAGATTGATATTATTTGATTGAATTAATTATTAGTGAAAATTCAATGAATTAATAGATAGAAAATTATGAATAGAATATAAATATATATATAAATAAAAAAAGTATATTTATATACATAATATAGTATAAATATATAATCAATGCAACTCCAATTGAGCTTAAATTTAATAGTATTTGAAAAAAACTTGTTTCATTATGATCCACAATTGGAGAATCTAAAAATATATACATAAGAAAAGACATAAAAAAATCAATCGTTTATTTTGAAATTAGATGCAGCCAGTGATGTTGAGAAACCTTATCTGCAAGCACTTTTAGATAGTGCAATCAAAAGGGAACACGAGACAGAGAAGGAGAGAAAGCAGACCTTGTTGAAAAGGCAAGTGGCCCTCCTAGAGACTGTTCCCTCACTGACTGAAGTGCAGTGTGGGGAACAGTTGCAGTCCATACTTACAGCCTTTGTTCAAGTCAGGAATCTTCAGGACCATACCACTCAGATCGTTGAAGTCTTTGCAAAGTTGCAAACACTTCAAGATGATCTGACTGATATGACCCGCAAGTACCATGAACTGACAAAGGAGGTGGCTGACCTGCGACAAGCCCAAGTGGCCAACCCTCTTCCTCTACCCCCTGGATCTAAAGCTGCAATCGAAACTGCTTCTGCCCCTCTTACTGTATCTTCTTCCTCGAATGTGTTGGCAATCTCCTCAGGACCTGCAACAGGTGCTGCCATTGTTGTAACAAGCAATGAGGCTGTAACAAGCAATGAGGCTGTAACAAGCAATGAGGCTGCAACTTCTGCAATTGCTGCAGCCCCAAGAGTGGAACCAGTTGTTGCTGGTCCCAGCCACGCTGGTCCCTATGTGGACCGAAAAGTGGTACAGATACCATTTAAGTACGACGGCAAGGAAGACATCGAGTCCTGAATCGGCTCCATGAGGGCCTACTTTGAGATTCTGGGGACTCAACTTGAGACCCAGGCAGTGATCATGGGAATGAATGTCGAGCCGGTCGTACGGGGCTTCCTAGAAGTCCAAGCGACGCGGGCTGGGTTCCAAAAGACTGCACTAGCCAAATGGCTTAAGACCACCCCGGTTGCCTCCCTCGAGGATCTCCTTATCTCACAATATCAGGATCTTCATGCTGCGGCTAGAGCAAGAATCCAACTTGACAAAGTCAAGCGCAGTAAGTGGACAGGCTCCATGAAAAGCCTGCAAACTTATCTTAGCAAGATGTTCGCTACTCCTGGTTTGGAATTATCTGCTCAATCTTGCTTAGATGTGGTTAAGGGCGCGGTTCCAACTAACTTCACCAATCGCCTGGGCAGGGACTACATTGCATACACTGACTGGCTCACCTTAATGCAGGACATAGTCAGTTTGGAGGTTGTAGACCTCGTTAGCACGGCAGGCAACAAAAAGCCCATGGGCGGCAGGCGGTTCCAGGGCAGCAGCCGTTTTGCTGTGCATGACCTGTTGGAGGCCGAAGAAGAAGCCGATGCGGGTGACCCCACTCTTGGTGACGACCAAGAACAGGACTCCGATACAGATTCAGCCCATGAGTCCGATGCAAATAAAGAAGAAGAAAAATTTTATGCCCTTAAAAAGACTGCCAGTACTAAGGGAAAGAATCTGAGTGCCGGGAAAAGTTATGTCCAACTTCCCAAAGGAATCAAGATCCCGCCTAAACCGCAGGATGCAACTACCAAACCTGAGGTTGACCTCCGGATCATTGAGAATGACTGGCGGGGCAGACTCAAGAAAGGGGTTTGCCTGCATTGCCAGAAACCAAATCATAAGGTTTAGGACTGTTATAGGCTGCAGGGAAACCAGAATCGGGCGTACAGTCAGATTCAGCAAACTCTACTGCAGGGGTATCCGGTTCTGTTGAACATCAGCAACCCTCCCTTGAAGCCCAACCATCTGCTGAAGACGAGGCTGAGGTAAGTAATGTTTTGTATGTCGAGCCTTGGGAGGAGTCTGAGATGGTTGACTTCCACTACCACTTGGAGCATTGGGCTGAGATGACACAGCAGGGTGTCCAAGGGACTGTGATTCAAACTTCTCATAAAGCACCGCTATCTTCGTGTGTTGGTTGACTGTGGTGCTACAGCTAACTTCATGTCACCACATGGGATACGCAAGGTGGGCTTGGGGATGAAGCAAGTGGCCCTGCAGAACCCTTGTCGGACCCAAGTTGGCAACAAGGAAGTTGTCTCTTCCACGCATGCAGTCAAAGGTGTGCGCACTACCTTTGACAAAGGCAAGACTGTCACCCACGCCTTGAACTCATTTGTCCTTGACAAGTGCCCCTTCGACGTTGTCCTTGGCTTGGGCTGGCTGCAGTCCCAATGCGAATGGACCAAGTGGAAGGAGTCACTCTTCATCGTCAAAGATGCTCAGGGGAACGCGCTTCATGTCCTCTTGGATGAGAAGCGCGAATCCCCAGTGACTTTTCTGAATGCTATGCAGTTCTGCAAGAAATGGCGCAAGCACAAGGAGGAAGAACAATTGTATGTTGCCTTTGTTCGTCGTACCCATGTGCCATCTACTTTTGCGGCTAATACCACTACTACTTTGATTGATGATCCTACTTCTGGTACTTCTACTACTAGCACCTCTACCTCTCTACCCTCTAATAGTCCGAATGATCCTACTTCAGATTCGGTCGTCTCTATACGCGACTTGCGACCGGATCTTGGTGATCCCTTTGGTGATTCCCCACCCCCACCTGTCCCATCAGACATCCAAACCCTCCTCGATCGGTTTCCGAAAGTCCTGGCCGAGCCACGTGGAGCCCCCACGCGACCGGTTCGACACACCATCGAGTTGGTCGAGAGTGTTGTTCCTCTAAAGGGCTGCGCATACCGTATGGGACCCGACGAGTTGGAGGAACTCTGGCGACAGATCGATGAGATGATTGACAAAGGGTGGATAAAACTTAGTGAATCTCAATTTGGTGCTCCTGTGTTGTTTGTCCCAAAGAAAGGAGGCAAACTCCGCATGTGTATTGACTATCGCGGTCTAAACCGCATTACAAGAAAGAACGCCTATCCATTACCCTGCATAGACGATTTGCTTGATGCCGCAGGTGGGTGCAAAGTCTTCTCTAAGATCGATGTCAAGTCTGGCTACCACCAGATTGAAGTCCATCCTGCGGACCAGCACAAAACTGCGTTCAAAACACGCGACGGGCTTTATGAGTTCACCGTAATGCCCTTCGGTCTCACGAACGCACCAGCCACTTTCCAAAGCCTCATGGACAAGGTCCTCCGCGAACAGATTGGCCGGTTTGTGGTAGTGTACCTGGATGATATTCTGATATTCAGCAAGTCCATGGAGAACACCTCAAGCATCTTGAGGAGGTGCTCGCTATCCTCAAGAAGATGCAGCTCCATCTCAGCTTGGAGAAATCTGAGTTTGGGAAGGATAGCGTAATCTATCTTGGGCACCGGTTGTCCGTTGCAGACCTAGAGCCTGAGGCAACCAAGATTGAGGTCATACGCGATTGGCCTCAGCCTGCGAACATTCGCGAATTGCGTTCTTTCCTTGGTCTCGCGTCGTACTATCGGAAGTTTGTACCCCGTTTCTCCATCATTGCTCGTCCATTGTCACGACTAACTAGTAAAAATGTGCCTTATTCCTGGGATGCCGCGTGTACGAAAAGCTCTCAAGGAAGCCTTGGTAAGTTACCTAGTACTCCGCATTGCAGATCCCAAACTGACATTCGTAGCTACTACAGATGCAAGTCAATACGGAATCGGTGCAGCGCTGCAACAAGATGACGGCAATGGCCTGCGGCGACTCGAGTACTACAGCAAACGGATGCCTAGCGTAAAGGTAGCCACTTCCACCTACATGCGAGAGCTCTATGCTTTGCATATGGCGTTGGATCACTGGAAACATTATATTTTGGGACGCCACTTCAAAGTCTTCTCAGATCACGAGGCCTTGAAGTGGATCAAACAACAAACTACCATGTCCCCTACCTTGCTTCGCTGGTTTCATGAGATTGACATCTTCGATTTTGAATTAAGACACAAAAAGGGTTACATGACTTGCCTTGTGAAATCCTACGGCCTCCGCAAGAAACTGAAGGAGGAGCTCGTAGAGCAGACAGCCAAGGATCCGGAACTTAGTTCCATCCTTGCGCGGCTGCGGGCTGATCCTAGTAGTCAGCCTGATTTCCACGAGTATGGAGGACTGATTTTTCGTCGTTACAGGAACCATGACCATTTGTGTGTGCCCAACCATGAGCCTCTCCGCACACACTTTCTGTATTTGGCTCATTGCCGGAGAGGGCACTTCGGCGTGGCAAAAACGTACGCTAATTTGCTGAGACAGTTTGATTGGCCTGGCATGAAGGGGACTGCTGAGAAGTTTGTGGCTGAATGTCAAGTCTGTCAACGGATCAAACCATGTAGACAAAAGCCCAAGGGGCTACTCACACCCCTACCCATTCCTGATGGTCCCGAGTCTCTCCATCGATTTCATTGACACGGGTAAGGTAAGCAAAAACGGGTATTCACCAGTCATGGTGATTGTTGACCGATTTTCAAAATTTCTTAATTTGATCCCTTTGCCGCCCCACGCCCCAACAGATCTAGTGATTCGCGAATTCCAACAAAAATACCTGCTGCAATTCGTTACCCCGAAGACTCTTGTGAGCGATCGGGATCCGTGTTTCATTAGCACAGAATGGAAGGATTTCACGTCTCACCTAGGAATCAAACTGTGCATGACATCTGGCCGACACCCCGAAGCCAACGGTTTGGCTGAGGATATCAACCAAACTGTGTTCCAACTACTTTGCTCTTTGATTATCCCGAATTAGGAAACATGGGATGAAGAGCTGTATTCCGTTAAGGGTTATACAACAACTCCGTCCACTCCGCCACCGGCATGACACCCAACAGGCTGCATTACGGTTGGCAGATCCGGAATCCGCTCTCTAACCTATTCCCTGAGCAGCCAGCTGGTTTAATACCTGGCAAGCCTGGCTTCAGGGCCAAGTATGATCGCTTGCTCAAAGTTGCCATTGCAGCTATGACCAAGCGACAACACGCCATGATCCATCACGCGAACAAGAAGCGCAGACCGTCAGATATTGAGGTASGAAGCTATGTTTGGGTCAAGATGTCTGAATTCTCAGAAGAAGAGGGAGTCTCACGCAAACTCCTCCCTCTCTATTATGGGCCCTGGGAAGTTTTGGATGTGATTGGTGAAGATGACTTTGGCCCTTCGTACGTTGTAGACGTGCCAGCTCACCTGCGCACATATCCCGTGTTTCATGCATCTACACTGTATCTCCACCGTGATGCCGAGACATTCGATTACCGCGAAGATATGATCCCTCGCGCAATCAAGGGCGGGCATGAGATAGATAGAATCAAACGGCATGTAGGTAAGGGGAGAAACAGACAGTACCATGTTCATTTTATGTATCACCCGTTAGACGATCTGTACTGGATCTCCAAACAGGAACTGCTACGCAGCGCACCGCACGTTGTTAAAGCCTACGAGCGCCAAATCGCTGCTAACGCTGCACCCAAGATCTCAGCAAGGCTCACTGCGACAGAGTATTCTAGGAATCTCTTCGCCTTGCTCGCCTACGATGCATTTGCTGAGGACTCAGAATAGTTACTTGCTCGAAGGGACCTCGGTCTTGACGGGGGGGTAGTGTGATAACCCGTCCAAACATGGACTGAAACACAC